AAAAGCATCATTTCCCACTTGTTGAATGTGGACCTTCCCAATTTCAATGCCTGAAACAGAAAAAAGGAACAAATAACTGTTTTTGGCGAGACCACAATGAGCAGAATTCTATACAACTGGCAAAACGTTACATTCGAAGCGTTCAAGTTGTGTTTTGAGATAAGCAGCAAAGATTTGGCACGATAGGGCTATCCTATCATAGCTGTTAAGCGTCAAGAGCAAGCGAAACCCATAGCTTTAAGATTATACTTTGCAAATTATTTTGACGAAGGAAATAACTTTCGGCTATTTACTTATATAAGCAAAGGAACATTGACAGACAGTAGTTAAACTTAACTGAGGCGGGTCAAGTTTGAAATTTAAGTTGAAAATTGTATAACTTCATGAGCCTTAGAGTGTTCACGTTCACCAAATAAACAACATTAAACAATATAGAACAAGTGCAAAGGAAAATTCCGCTATGTTTAGACACTGGTATATAAAAAAATCACATAATTTCACTATCTCTCCGGCTGTTCAAACGGGTTGCGATAAATGATGCAACATGGAAGTTAGCGGCAATCATTAAAACAAAGCGCAATCCGTGTCATAAGATTTTTGGGCAAAACACCTATGGAAATCAACTCGAAAATATCACGGTCTGAAACGGACAAAAGAAATGATCCTTAACATCACAGCGAGAGACAAAGTAATAAAATTAAAGGACACTGTCGATCATATGCATCTGCTCGTCTTAACATAGAAAGTGAGTTTAAGACTGACAACTGCACGATTAATAATGAAAACAGCAGTAGATAAAAGTGATAAAAAAATACGTCCAAAAACGTTTTTTTTCCTTTAAGTTTGAGATGCAGCATTGTTAGAAATAAACGGTATCGTAGCTAAGCTCCAAAAACGCTGACATAAGTTTAATTTTCTTCCACATATTGCAAACGTTTCTCGATTTTTTTTTATCATAAAAAGAATTTGTTCGGAAAAAAAAACTTTGTTAACGAGGTAATAAAAGAGAATGATGTTGATACCTTTTACGCCAACACGCATCAAGAAGCATAACCAAACGAGCTGAAGTACACCTTCCTTGCCTGAAAACATCACGGCTTAATGATTCGAAGTGATTATCTCTTCCTAGAAATGAGGATTGTTGAAAATGGAACTCACTTTTATATCAACATTTCAGTCGTGGTGTAATAAAATATTGTTGTTGTTTATTGTTGTTACGTCAATATTTCGTTAGTTTGTTTCAGACCATTGCATTGTTCATAGTTTTGATAACAAACAGAAATATGTGCAACGGGCTATGTCTTGTTCTCATATTTTTATCATTATTGGCTGGTTTTATACTATTTTTTCCCTGGAATTTGTCGAAGGAATTTTGCAGATACCTCTACTTACCCAGATTCTAAATGAATATCACTCATTTGATTAAGTGATATTCATGGTTCAGCCTATATGGAACAATTGTGTGTAATTCTCTAAGCGTTCCTGTAAAGTTGCATTGGGAATACTGAGCAATGTTTCAACAAATCTCCAGGTGGTATTTTATTTATTTCTTTTATATATTTTTTTCAGCTAATGGAACCTCAATAACAGAATCTAAAAGGGTTACTGGGGCCTGCCTGAACTTGTAGCTTTCTCGATGTCTTCAAAAGAACACACACAGACAACAGCTAAAAGTGAACACAATGAAAGAAGAAGAAAACACACACGAGTGAAAGACGTATGAATTATGACATTACAAATTTGATGTTGCAGTCCACGGTCTAGAATAAAAAACAGAATAAAGTCGAACTGGTAATATCATTGATGAGGTATTTCAAGTTGAGCGGAAGCCAGTGATGCGACTTAAGTTGTTGCTATTATACACAAGCGTGTTTACTTTTTTTAGATATACAATGGATGGCATTAAAGTACAGATGAGACCTTTAAAAGTGCGTCATTTGAGTGTTTACGTACAGTGCGAAGTGAGTGCATCGATGCACCCGCCCAGAGGTCACCAAATTGGAAACAACGTGCGTTCTCGCAGTGCAAATTTTCTTTTTGCGTACGAAACTGAGCGACTTTTACTAATTTATAACCGCGCATAATTAAGAATTGAAACAAACCGCATTTTAAATTCACGTCTAAATGTAACTTGTTCGGGAAAGTGACAATTAATGATACCAGGTTCACCGTGTATATTCCAGAAACAATTTGTAAGAAGCTAAGGGTAGGAATAGACCCCCAAAATGTATAGTAAAACCGGTAAACACAAGTGCATGTAGCGATACGTAAAATCGCGAATTCCGAGACTGCGAACATATATTAAACTGGAAGGTTCGTATCTTTGATTTGATACCTAGTATTCTTTTTTCCGTCGTTCTATCACTTCAGCATACCATTTGAGTAATTTAGGTTTCACGGTCTGACGCGGACATAAAATAGACAGGACAGGACAGGCACTGAGTTGTTTCGGGTCTTCAGCTGCTTTTTGCAAGTTTTTAGATGGAAAAATGGCGTGTGATTCAGTAAGCTTTAGTGTTAAAATTCGTTGGAAATATTGAGCAATGTTTTAACAAATCACCAGGTGATACTAATTTTCTTTCTTTTTTTTTTTTTTGCTAATGGAACTTCAATAACAAACTGTAAAAGGGTTACTAAAGCCTGTCTGAACTGGTAGCTTTCTCTATGTTTCCAGAAAAACACACACACACAGATAACAGCTAAAACTGAAGACAATTTAAAGAAGAAGAAAACACAGACGAGCGAAAGAGGAATGAATTATGACATTATACAAATCTCGTGCTGTAGTCCACGGTCTAGAATGAATACAGAGTAAAGTCGAACTGGTAATATCAGGGAGGAAGTTTTTCAAGTTGAGTGGACGCCAATGATACGACTTAGGCTAGTGTCATTATCTACACGCGTGTTTGTTTCCTTAGATATACAACGGATGAAACCTCTAATGGTTTGCACGAAGTGATTTCATCTGTAGATAACCCAACCAGAGGTCACCAAATTGGGAAGAACGTGCGTTCTCGCAGTGCAAAGTTTCTTTTTGCATACGTAACTGAGCGACTTTCACTGAATTAAACCTGTGCAGAATTTAGAAACCGCATTTTTCACGTCAAAATGTAAATTGGTCTTTGAAGACAAATTCGGCAAAGTGACAATTATTAGTAGCAGCTTCAATATGTTTATTCAAAAAACAATTTGTAATAAGCTAAGTGTAGGAATAGACCCCAAATAATATATGGGTCGTAAACCGGTCAACATGAATACATGTACGGAGCGGTATGTAAAAACGCGATTTCGAAGACTGCGAACAAGTATTAAACTGGAAGGTCCATGTCTTTGATTTGATACCTAGTTTCCTTTTCCTGTCGTTCTATCACTTCTGTATGCCATTTAAGCAATGTAGGTTTCACGGTCTGACCCGGTCATAAAATAGACAAGACAGGACAGGAACGTGGCGGGATACAACTTAGCTGTTTCGGGTTTTCAGCTGCTTTTTGCGAGCTTTTAGATGGAAAAATTGACCTGAGATTCAGTAAGCGTCCATGTAAAAGTGTGCTCAGGAATATTGAGCAATGTTTCAACAAATTCTAAGGTGTTTTTTTTTTTCTGCTAATGAACTTCAACAACAAACTTTAAAAGGGTTACAAGAACCTGCCTGACCTTGTAGTTTTCTAGATGTTTCCAAAAGAACACACAGGCAGACAACCATGGCTACATGTGAAAACAATTCAAAGAGCAAGACTTAAAACACAGACATATGAAAAACGCACGCGCTATATAGCCATGATATAACAATTATTTTATTGCATTCTAGTATAAAATCGAAATTAAGTCGAACTGGTACACCAAGTAGGTGGTTCTTCAAGTTGGGTGGAAGCCAACGATAACACTTTATCTATTTGCATGACCCACACTTGTGTTTATACTCGTTTGTTTTCATAAACAGCATTTGATATACAACTATGGTATCAAAGTTCAGGTGCATCTTTTGACTGTTTTTTATATAGCACGAAGTGAGCGCATCTGTCGATGCAAATACCCAGCGGTCAACAAAGTGGGACACAACGTGCGTTCACCCGTGGCAAATGTTCTCTTTGCATACGTAACAAAGTAGCTTTTTCTGGAGAATCCATACAGTAATAAACGCGC